CCAGTTAGGGACCTGCCGAATAACAGGGATAATTAGATGCAGTCTGATTTTTTTTTAACCATCTGATGGCACCATAGAAGTGAAATGCTAGTGCCCCACCAAATGCAAATCATGAACAGATAACTGTACCATAAACACAAGCATTAGTTTCTGATACAAACCTCAGCAATAATCTCAGCAGACACTACTCCAGTTTCTTCTCGCAGTTCCCTGATAGCTGCAGACTGGGGATCCTCACCATCTTCAATACCGCCCTGAGTTAAACAAGACATTAAAATTTCATAAAAACAACAAAATCAAAGACCAGAGATAATAAAAACTTTCAATTTCCTAAAACCAAGCACCTAGAACACCTGAATACGAAAATTTTCAGCAGAAACACTCCGAAAAATCACCAATCACGGAATGAACCAAACACACCATATTTGCTCTAATTTTTCCTTAAAAACACACATATAAATCATAAATAGACAATTATCAACCAGAGATTCGTAAGTATTGACATGGAAAACAGAGCATCAAACGAGGTTCTACCTGAGGCATCTGCCATGCTCCAGGAACATTCAATCTAGAAGCCACAAAAATCTGCAAGCAAATCAAGATTATCAGTTCTGGTGCCAAAATGTCAGGTAACTCAAGCAGATCCTCCTATGCAAAAAAAAAAAAAAAAAAAAAAACACACACACACACACACACATACAGAAAATTCAAAAACAAACATGCAGAATTTGAGCTCGGCCATCCTTAAAAAAACTAAAACAAGACCGATCTCGATTCTACACTCTCCGACTTTCTGTGTTCCGGCGGCCAGGGCGGCATATCGGAATCCAGATTTAGCTCATCTTATAGAATCTTCCGAAAAGCAAGAACTAAAGTAGTGGAGAGTGGAGAGTGGAGAGGAGAGAGTACTACCTGATTATCGGAGTTGATGAGACAGACACCGACGTTGGGGCGATAACCAGAGGGCAGACCCTCCATTGGTAATTACTACTACTGAGGTTTGAGTAAATGCTTCGGTGATCACTGTCAGAAAAGGGAGATCGGAGAGGGAGAGAGGAAATGGAAATGAAAATGAAAAGTTGAATTTTTTTTTTTTTTT